TCAGCAAGTGCTGAATGAACTAGCCAAAATCATTGCAGGACTGCTGGTGAACCTCTTTGATAATTCGTGGCATGCAGGAGAGGTCCCAGAAGAGTGGAAGAGGGCCAATGTTGTGCCCATCTTCAAGCAGGGGAGGAGAGAGGACCCAGGGAACTACAGGCTGATCAGTCTGACCTCAATCCCAGGAAATATCCCTGAAAAATTTCTCTGCTAGTGATAATCTAGTAGAAGGCAAAATTCTGAACAATAGCCAGCACAATTTTGTCACAGGTAGGTCATGTCTAACTAACCTCATCTCCCTTCTAGACAAGGGAGATGAGGTTGATGTCATTTACTTGAATGTTAGGAAGGCCTTTGACTTGGTGTCCCATGTGGGCTATGTACGGATTGTGCTCACACCAAATTTTCTATTCTAGCCCTAAATGACATACAGGCATGGAAAATGTCAGATACTGGGGGACAGAATGGAAAGCCCTTTCTTATTCTGCCCCTCTTTCTCAATCTCTCCACTACACTGATCTGACCTCCACTCCCTTAGACTCAAAAACACTGAAAGAAGGATATAGCTTAAGCCCATTCTCCAATGCTGGTTCCTTTCCTTATTGTGAAGCAATCATAGCAGTAAAGATAAAGGAAACCTTAGAACTCTCTCCCTTGCCTTATGGAGCAGCCATGAGACGGAATACTTATAGAAAGTGTTTTTAGAGAAGGAAGGAGTGCACAGATAGCTTCAGTTTCTCCACCCAAAAATATATCACTAAAGAGCAAGGGCAGTCAAAATCTGGCCTGTAGGGCCCCTCTGAAAGACAAAAGAATTATCATGAGCCCTGGCCCTCAGCTGCTCCTCTGAAAGCCTGCTGGCTGTGGGAGGTGCAGCTCCAGTTGCTAAGCAACCAACCCCCACTCCAGCCTGGACTGACCTTCTCCCTGCCCCAAGGTAGGGGGCACTTTTGCCTGGCCACGCAGTGGCTGTTCCTGGTCTCTCTCCCTGGGAGAGTGGAAATTCAAATAAGATCCCCACCAAATTGGGCGCTAAGGACTCCTGTTGAGGGAAACACGTCTGGGAGTACAGGGAGCCATGTGCTATGGTGCCGGGCCAGGTTGGTCTCGCATGCTGTAGGAGCACCAGAGCTGCATGCTATGGGGCTGGGTTGGGCTGGCCCCACATGCTACCATGACATGTGGCTGGGAATTCAGGTGGGAGTTTTGAGCTATTGGGCCAGGTGGGGCTGGACCCACACCCTACCATCACATGTGGCCACAGACTCAGGAGGGAGCCACGAGCTATGGGGCTGGGTTGGGCTGGTCCTGCTCGCTGCCATCACAGGTGGCTGGGGACTTGGGCAGGAGCATGGGAGCTGAATGCTATGGGGCTAGGCAGGGCTGGCCCCGCATACTACTACCACATGGCCGGGAACTCGCACACTCACTCCAGGGACACCAAGGACCTCCCCCCCACCCACATCCATACCCTCCCATAAACCCCACCCTCCACCATATTCCCACATACAGCCATGCCCTCCCACAGCCCCCACACATCCCACCCACAACCCATACACATGTACCCCCACCTACTCCCCAACCATACCCCCCCACAATATACATGAGTAAGACTATTTTAAGCTATTAAGCAATCACCTCTATATACACTATGCCAGGGGTCAGCAACCCCCAGCACACGTGCCTATTGTATAATACTTGCTGCTTGCTCCCGAGTGACCAGTTGTCATTTTGGGAAAGTACTGACTGTACTAACTTACAGATCAACAGCCACCATTTTGGAAAAGTACTGACTGTACTAACTCACAGATAAGCAGCCGCAGCCATTGCGTATCTTGTCATGCTATTGCCATAACTGTTGGGAACTTCCTCAAACCCGGGGGGAGACTCAAACCCGGGGGGAGACCACCATATAAGGGAACGAACAGAATAATAGAAGCCAATTGGCTCACGGGGACACTGGCAATTGTGTCAGTCTTATAAAACAACCAAGGAATCTGGAAGAGAACACTCCAGAGTCCAAGACTAAACGAGCAGGGTGGAATCTGGCCAATTCTATCTCAGTCTCGTGAATGCCCACCGATATCCAAAACCCAGGGCAACCCCTCCGTATCCCGAACGAGTGATCTATCCCAGGGGAGCGAATAACTGCAGTATCTGTAACAGCTTTAAGAGAACTGAGCCTCACTGCCAATGTGAGTACAAAAAATAAAACTTTTTTGCATTTCGCTTTAAGTGCCAAGGGACTCTGCCTCTGTGTTATTACCTCCTCGTTCTCGCCCAGAGCGTTTAACTCCACCGCATGCGACATGGCGACGAGGATGGGATCCCTGAGACGAGAAGGGAAAGCACATGCAGACCCCTTAGTAGAGTATTGCCCGTGGGCGAACCATCAGTGGCCCCCGCCCACCGATGCGGACGGCCTGTGGGCCCACATTGCCTACCACCAGGTCGCACAGAATGGGAAGTTAGGGAGCTATTTGTCCATCCAGCCGCCCAACACCCTCACACACCAGCCCGGGGTGGCTAAGGAATGGGTAGTGTCCGGGCTCAGTCCCGCTGCGCTTGGGTGCCTCCTGTCATGCCCCTCTGTCCTGTACCGTCCCCCCGACGTAGTGGCGGAGGTCGAACTTAGTCGAATTAAACCAATGAGTGGGGGTATCGATCGTGCGCCCGAAAAAGAATTTGCCCAGTGCATACAACACCTCAAGACAGGAGGAGGCTGTGATACCCCCCCGACAAGTTTCATTGTCCGGCTATCATTCCGGGAGGGGCCGAAAATGAAATATTGACTACCTTGAGGGAGAACCTAGAAGAGGAGGGCAAAAATTCCTCTAAGTGGGGCGGACAAAAGTGGGACAAAGGAAAAAAGCTTAATGTCTTGTTTCGCTCGTTTTCCACGCTAATGAGACACGCCGCGAATCAAGCGAATTTGATAGATGCTCACGAAGATGGCCGCCGACCATGCTGCGACTGCACCTAAAGATGGCACCGAGGCGGCAGCGCAGGGGCGGAGAGAAAAAGAGGTGGAGACTGTGAGTAATAAAGATCCGTCCCCCTCACCAGAGGAGGTGTTCCCTGTGGCGTCAGCCCCTCCCCTCGAGGCGAAAACCCCACCCCCCTATCCTGGTGCCTTCCCCCCAAACGAATGCCCATTTGACAAAAACGTAGGCATCGATATGGCTGCACCCCCCATGCACGCCAACCCAGTCGCCATCACCAAGACCTTAGTAGATCAAACGGGGAACACCCAGATTACTACTACGTTTCGTACCTGCACAAGGGTGGGGAACTACAAGACCTAGCAAAGGATACCAAAATTCAGCCAGGCGAGACCATTGCCATCTGAACGGGACGTTTAGTGTTGGAACACGGGTCCAAGATAGCTGACCCTGCAGAGTGTACGGTGCTTATGCGGCAGCCGGCTTGGAGCGGTGGGGGGTGTGCGGACATGGATAAGTTGGTCCGTAACCGGGCCTGGCCCATACCCCTGCCGGCGGCCACCATCCCAGTGCTTGTGGTCCGCGCCCACGCCTGGCATGCAGACCCTCCCCCTGCGCCCACACCTACTCAACTCCTCTATGCTATAGTGGGAATTAGTTATTTGACTTGGGACGCCACCCGCAACCCTACAAACCTTACACGGGCAGAAGAACGGAGTGAGCGGCCCCACCGCTTTTGCAGAGATCCGGCAAAAATCCCAGTATCTACCCCGGCCATAGAGTCGTGCGTGGAGCTATACGGAGGTCTCCATGCCCCCATGTTCCGACTTTTACTGAGCCCATTACTTGGAGATCCCATCGAAAATATTTTAAGCTCCCTAGGGAAACTGACGAGCGTCCAGTGAGGACAACCCGCACAAAAGGTCGCTGCTGCCACAACGCAACGGTCGAATACATCGGACAAACCCCGCAAACCTCGGGACCCAGGACCGCCGGAACGATCTCCAGAAGAACGGGCCACGTTCGGGTTCCTCCTCAACAAAAGCGGCCTGACCAAGGCACAAATCCACCATCTGGGAGACGTGGCCCAACGGGCCCAGGCAGAGAGACTGGACTTTACGTTCCGGTCAGGGGATGCCCAAGAGGGAAAAAATGAGTAGCGGCTGCAGGGGAAAAAAATGAGTAGCGGCTGCCGAGACGGGCTACGCCGGCCGCGATCCCACAGATGACCGCCCGTATGCCACTTTTAATGTGAGTGCAACTTCTTCTTCTCGCGCTATCCCCATTCGGTTTCTCCTTGACACGGGCACACAAGTTAACGTGCTATGCCTTGAGGTTCCCCACGTCCGCACCTCCAGAACTCTGTTCGTCAGGGGCCTTCATGCGACCTCAGCCACTACTGTGGTAAAATTTTTCATCGCACCCTACCCCCTCTATGCAGTGATGGGCGACCTTAACATCTTAGGCGTCCCGGCCATCAAAGCCCTAAAATTAAAGCACGACATTTTTTCGGCCCTTCCGTTAACGTTTACACCAGTTACAAAACATCAACCACAACTGAGCGTCCCTACGGCATGGCGTTACTAACCCATCTCCACACGGCCGGTGCTACAGCCCAAAGCTGACGCACTACTATGGGGCTTAGAACAACAAGGACGCATTCGGCCGGTTGATGCCTCGACCTACCTATCTGCGGGCTGGGGCATCCCCAAACCCAATAACCCAGACGATGCTCGTTTAGTTGTAGGCTATCGCCAAGCCAACCACCGGTGTGTGCCGCTCCAGCTCCCGGCTTCGCACACAATTATGGAAATAATAGATGCTATAACAGCCGTTCAGCACGAGGGAGAGTGGTTCGTGACCACCATTGACTTAAAAGACATGTTTTATTCCATCCCTATAAGTGACCCACAGGGGATACTTAATGTGTGTGTAGGGGGAAAGATGTACACCTGGGCAGTTTGCCCACAGGGATACCGTAACGCCCCTGCGCTAGCCACTGCGGCCATGGGAGAGACATTGCGCACTTTTGAGCCCCAACGCCTGCCCCACACTCACATATGGTCCTATGTCGATGACATCATCGTTCTTGGTGCTGATCGCGCCAGCGTTCGGGCCACCACAACTTGCCTCAATCAGCATCTACAAGACACGGGATGGACCGTAAATGCGACAAAGTCCCACCTCGAGCCCACAACGGACGTCACATTTCTGGGGACTCGTTTCTCCGGATCATTCTGTTGGGGAACCACACATAGAACGGACATCCTGGCGTTACTAACCCATCTCCACACGGCCGGTGCTACAGCCCAAAGCTGACGCACTACTATGGGGCTTAGAACAACAAGGACGCATTCGGCCGGTTGATGCCTCGACCTACCTATCTGCGGGCTGGGGCATCCCCAAACCCAATAACCCAGACGATGCTCGTTTAGTTGTAGGCTATCGCCAAGCCAACCACCGGTGTGTGCCGCTCCAGCTCCCGGCTTCGCACACAATTATGGAAATAATAGATGCTATAACAGCCGTTCAGCACGAGGGAGAGTGGTTCGTGACCACCATTGACTTAAAAGACATGTTTTATTCCATCCCTATAAGTGACCCACAGGGGATACTTAATGTGTGTGTAGGGGGAAAGATGTACACCTGGGCAGTTTGCCCACAGGGATACCGTAACGCCCCTGCGCTAGCCACTGCGGCCATGGGAGAGACATTGCG